CTGTGATTCTGTGATTCTGTGAAGTGATCTACGTGATCAAAGAAAGTCCTCATTTTAAAGTTTCTTTCCACTTTTTTTTCAAATTCACTTCAAAACAGTGCTATTAGCTAACATGTCTGGTCCTAATCACATCTGCACTTCAAGCATTACAGTTGTACCCAGGGACATCTTTTCAATTTAGGTTTAAGCCTTAGACAAATGAATATTATCTAGAATCTCAGATTTCAAAATTCCACATAGAACAGCTCACCTACCTTACATCATTTAATTTCCCTATGAACTCACTAGAGCTCTGTGTAACATCTCCACCTGATGCATCATGTGGGAAAGCAGCAGCAGAATGGGTAACTACTAATGGTGTTTGGAGGTAATTGCACATTCATTATTCTCATGAATATTTAATCTTTCAGCTGTTAAACATGGACTTTGGGGCACAGTATACTGACTTAGTATTCTAAAAGGTTTGACTCATTTTCATAACTCCTCTCACTGTCAAGTCAAAAAAAAAATCACTGCCATATTTTCTTGTACAAGGAATGCTATTGTTTTAACTACAGTTACCATTTATTTTTCCAGGACAGAAAAAGAAAACCAAACCTAAACCTTAAACTATTCACTCCAAGTAAGGGTGCCAGAAATTGGCTGTTGGGCAAGTTTAGAAGCTGATGCATTTTTTTTTCCAGGCAAAAGTAAGCAGAGAAACAAAAATATTATTTTTAAATTATTGCTATTTTTTTTAACTGTATTCCTCCACTGAAAACAATCTTTTAGAGAATCAGTCATTAGCTCACCATTCTCTCTGAACAAAGTGCACCATGTCCTGTATAGTGGATGGCTCACAGACCATATAGAGTCCCCACAACCCTGTATCAGTGTAGCAGGTGTTGAAGGACTGGAAGCTGTGACACAGGTTACCATGGCAGGCAATCTGAGCAAGTTTACTGGATAAATTCTGCTGAGGCAAAAGAAAAATATATTATTTTATGAAGTTTTTTGAAAGCCTACTAGTCACCTCCATGGTCTCCTGTTTTCATTTCAATGATGACAGAACATGAAGTAGTATCAAAGGCTCCAGCAGAAGGTATGAGGTTAATTACCAGCTCTTCATCTCAACAGTTTCTTTCCTTGCATGTAATCTCACATTTCCAAGCAACAGCCCAGATTTAAGCCAAAATTATAAAGCTACTTAGGTTCAAGAAAGGGACAGTTATTAATACCTACAGGTTCTGATGACAAACAGGTATGAAACATCCTACTTTCCATGAGGGCTGTCAGATCTCAAGTCACTTCTATTTTGGTGGTTTAGAACCACTTCCTAAGATTTTGATAGATCTTGAGCAACAAGTTCTCTCAGACTCACAACTGGATCCCCTTCTCCTCTCCCACTCCAAAAAAGGACCTTCAGAAATAGCCATAAGTTGCACTAACACCATCAGATATGTTTGAACGGGTCTGTATTGGCAGTACCCAAGTCAGAGAGATTTCAGCAGCCCACCAGCCTGATTAGAGCAGGAAGGTGCTCGCAGGTTCACTCACCACGCCTCCTCCAAAGGAACGATCCCAATTACCTATCAGAGTATTCGCTACCATGAGTGGGATCGTATCTGGGTGCGACCAGCCAGCTGCTTCAACAGCTATCGCAATGTGCGCCAAGGGCATCTTATCATCTCTTATACGAATCTGTGGGAACACAGAAAAGCAGCTGTAGTACAACCTGTGCACAGTAACATACACAGGAAGTTAAATATCAGGAGACAAGACATTTCCATTACATCTGGACTATAAAGCACGCACATAGAGAACACAAAATTAGAGCATATGAAGCTTTATTTAACATCAGCCTTAGCTAGTCTTCTCTGTGGCAATTTCAGAGCAACAGCAAGCCTAACGCATTACAAGTCATTTCACAACAAACACCAGCAAGGGAAGCTGATGACTTTTCAAAATCTAAATAAAGCTGTGAATAGAACACAGATGCCTCGGTTCTCTTCCATATCCGTTAAATTAGTAATTACCAACAAGTAGAAATGGTCCAACACCATTGCCAAGGGGACAAAAGTAAAGTAGCAGCAGGGGTAAGGAGGTATTCCTCCAGGAACTGATGAAGCAGAAAAAATGGCAGCAACAAGGCTTGTCCAAGAAAGGTTGTAAAGTACTGCTTTGGAAAGCAACTACTCTGTTGCCCTCGCTCGGGGCAAGAAACCTTCTAATCTGCTGAGTCTGTGGCTGAGAAACTCTTTCTCCTCAGCAGAGAGCACATGTCCACTGTGCTCACAGGAGATAGAAGGGCAAGCTCAAAAAGCCGCCTACCAGCTTACCTCACTGCCTGTGAAGCTACAAGGTGGCAGGGGTGGCAGTCCTCCTTCCGGAGCAGATGGCAAGTTACCAAAGTGGCACTTTGCTAGGTCAAGCAGCTCATCATGAGAGACCCCTGAACAAAGATATTTCACATACTTTATAATGTTACTCTGTAAACAGTTAATTTAAATTGCTGTGCAGTTTAAAGACTCAAACAAACAGTAACTTACTGCTCTCTCCCTTTAATAACCATGCTTTCAGATTCCTCACACCTCCCCATTATACAGAGTAAGATTGTCATGATCACTCCCCTTAATTCTCTTCAATAGCCTTCTATTAATATTACACCAAATCAAGCTGTTTGCTCTCAATTTCAAGCCTTGATGTTATGTCTCCTTCTCTCTGCTTTCCTTGCTACTCTTCTTTTCACAATGAGCCCCTTCTAGGCCTCTCTTTTCCTGCCCACATGGAAGAATGACCTTGGCCTTCAATTCACTTCGAGTTACTGGTTTAAGAATGTTTCTGGAATATTACTGAGGGGAAAAGGGAAAAGTTCAAAGGGTATAAAGGCACAAAATACACAGGGCTAGCAATGAACTTCCAGGACTTACTGAACAATAGACAATTCATCATGTTATACTCAGAAACTTAAATACCATGGTTTTAAGCATAGTTTCACATGATCCAGGGCAAATATCTCCTACTAACCTCCAGCAGCAGCCAGGACCATTCTGGGTCCTTTGTAATGTGTTGTTATGTACTCCACCAAGTCATTACGGTTTATGGATCTAGAAACATTCAAGGAAACATCACTATTGTGTCAGTAAAGTTTAGTAGAGTAAAAAGAGCTAAATGTATAGAATACAATATCAAAATAATTGTAAGGTCTGCCAATGCAGAGCCGTGCATAGAGGCAAAAAGCTAAAATAAGGGTGACTTCCTAAAAAGGAAATAGGAACTTGGTTACATTTTGCCTTTCTAAGCTCTTCTAGCTTCCTGAGAATTACGTGTCAGTCACGTGGAGACAGGACACACTAATGATCTCATGCCAATTTGAAAACAGCACATTTAGCAGTCTCCTGGTCTGTGCTGATATAAACAAATGCTGAAAGAGCAGTGCAAACACAGTTGTATTTATGATAATTCCTAACACCTGACCAACGGGACAAAGGAGCTTTTCCAATTTTGTGCCAGATGCCTTTTTAACAAACAGGAAAAAATACGGCAAATAATGAAGACATGCAGTAGACATGTGAAGTTCACACATCCTTTGATGCCTGCTTAAAGGGGAACTAAGGCAATAGGGGAATTCTTCTTACAGTTTTATCCAGTGCAATTTCAGCTATCTTACAGGGTAAAAATTAAAACTGAAGCTGTTCCCTACATTTTCAGATGAGTCTTTTAAATAGAAAAGGCACCATACAATTAAAGACAGCCACCAATTTGGACATACTTGATGTTTTCAGTGGGTCCTAAAATTGTTCGTCCTAGGGCTGTTTTCTGATAGGCTGTAGCATGAAGGTAATCAAAGACAACTTCTTGTAAATTGGTTTCAACCTCTTGCATCTCTCGAAGTATAACTCCTCGCTCACGCTCAATCTCTGCTTCTCCCAGGGTACTGTTCTGAATTATGTCAGCAAGAATTTCCACAGCTAATTGAAAACAGACAAGGGAACAGAAAGCATATTTTCAGACTACCAGAAAAACCTGGTTCCAAAAGTAAAATCCACCCCAAAGACCAAATGGCCCAAGATTTGCTAATAAGATTTGCAAGGTGACAAGAGGCTTGCTCTGCCGGAAGGGAGAAGTCCAAAAGGTATTTTCTTTTGGGAGTCTAGAGACAAAAACATGTCAAATATCAGCTTCCCAGATGGCACTCTCCTTTCCAAACCTGCATTCTCACATTCCTGTGCAGCTCAAGAAAGGACTTTTCACCCAGGAAGGAAAGGACTGTTACTCTATAAAAGTATAATTTTGTGATGTCTCATCAGGAGCTGGATAAGCATTTTGTCTTTTGCTGCTTTTCTGATGAATGAAAACAGTTACCTCTTGGTAAGTCTTTCGAAAAAGCCTTTGCATAATACACGGTTTGTTCCCTGGATGTATACGCATTCAGATGAGCTCCCATGTTCTCAATCTCTAGTTCAAGGTCTAACTGAGATCTCTTTTTTGTTCCCTGAAATAAAACAACAGGAAAATCAGAACAGACTCTTTAATTCACCTACTCATCATTGCTACCTCTTGTCTGGAAAAGTCAAGGCCAAGAGAAAGAAAAAGTCTTCTGGAAAGAAAACTGGCACACTAATCTCTCCAAGCTTGAAAGTCAGATATAAATCCTACTATGCTCCCAAATGAAAATAAAAAGCTGGCAAAAAGGCAACTATGTGTCTTCTAAGAACATTACAAGAAGTTAAAAGTGAGTTAAAATTAGACCTATGTTACTAATCTATAGTTGTGTATCAGCTACACAGAACTAGGACTTCAGCTTCATTTTCTAATGGAAACCAAAGTTGAAGTTGTCCACTTTTTTTTTTCCCCACTCCTTGATTTGGAAAATGTATTTATACAGTTCTAACAAAGTTCTTACCATTGATCTTCAAAGATAAATAACTCAGAAATCCACTGTAAATTTCTAAGTCAATACTCATGCTCACCTTGAAAGCCATATGTTCAAGAAAGTGAGCAGTTCCATTGTTCTTCTCATTTTCATACCTGCTTCCAGCATCAATCCAAAGTCCAACCTTATTGGGAAGAAAAAAAAAAAAAGTCATTTTACCAGCTAACAATGAAGCTTTGCTGTTTTTGTGTATGAACTATGCTTAGATTTTCAAGACCTATTTTTAAATGGCTTTTTCCTGAAACAAACCAGGTTTTCAAGATAAAGAAAATTTTGATCTTCACAAAAAAATCTAACCACAAATCATAAACACCAAAGCCTTAAGACTTATTTTACCTAGCTTAAAGTTTAAGAACAATTATTAATGAATATTGAAAGAATGCAATTCAGTTCCACAAGGAAATTAACATGCATGAACAGTTACAAAAAAAACTTCCCTTTACAAGTTACCTACTGTGCATGTTGAGAGTCCAGAGTCTTCAGAAGCTACTTGCAAGCCATTTCCAAGAGGAGTCACCCTAGTCTCAGGAACATTTAGGACTACTTCTGTTGCTGCTTTGGAAGCTCTGAGCCTGCTTGTTCCAACATGTACACACTGTAAGGAAAAAGCATCAGTCACACTCAAATTGTAAGGTATATCCCAGGATGCTCTTCTGAAAAATGTATTCCTGAACTTTAACACAAGTTTGGGGATCTTTTCTAAAGCATGCACTAAAAAAAAAAAAAAAAAAACACACACCAAAAAAAAAAAAAAAACACCATACACAGGTTTGAAGGGACCTCAGGACGGCTCTAGTCCAACCTTCTGCTCCAAGCAGGATCAACTATGAGGTCAGACCAGTTTGCTTGGGGCTTTTTGCAGCTGGGTACTGAAAATCTCCCAGGATGTGAAGAAACTGCACAGCCTCTCTGAGGAGCTTGTTCCACTGCTTGAATGCCTCATGGGAAAAAGGGGGTTTCATATATCCAGTTTTCCCTCTCTTGTTTCAACTTATAGCCATTGCCTCTCATTCTGCAGCCATGCCCCACTGTGAAGAACCTGGCTCTGTCTTCCTGACAACCTTCCCATCGGTACTGGCAGGCTGATGTTAAGTCCAACCAAAGCTATGTCTTCTCTGGGCTGAAGAAGTCCCAGACCCTCAGCCTCTCCTCATAGAGCATATGCTCTAACCTGCAACCATCATGCTAGCCCTCAGGTGAATGCACTCCAGTTCACTACTGTCTTCCTTACACCGAGAAGACCAAACCCAGCTGCCATATTGACAAGACCACCTGACAAGCGACAAGACCGCCTGACAAGTGCAAGCCACCTCCTTTGATCCTACTTGCTGTGCTCCTGTTTGTTCAGCCCAGGCTGTTGCCAGACATGCTGCTTGCCCACATGCAGCCTGCTGTCCTCCTGTGCCCCAGGCGTCTTCCACAGAGCTGCTACCCTGCTAGTCAGTTCCCAGCCTGGGCTGTTGCAAGGGATCATTTTCACTGCTAGCCGGCATTACAGGGAAGGAAAAACCTGTGCTTGAGAACAAAATCTCCCTTTCCTGTTGTGAGAAAGAAAAGCTTAGGCTTCAACCCGAGAGGATGGGGAAAATGACAGAAGGGGAGAGCTCTGGGATTGGGGCAGCCTCCATATAACCAGTGCAGAGATGGAGGGTTTAAGCCGTCTCTGAGCTCCCCTGGGGTGAGCACGGCAGGCCCCGTACGGGGTGGAAGCTACTCCTGCGCCTCTCAGAGCCATCGCACCCCAGTCTCTGCCCCGCTCCGGCTCCCGAAGGCTGCGCCAGCCATGCGGCCTCGGCACCGCTTGGGGCGATACGGGGTAACAGCGGCCCCAAGCAGCAGGTAGTAAACTCTGGGGCCTGCGGCTCCCCGGCTCGTCCCCCGGATCACTGTGCCCCCCCGCCGGGCGACCGCCGCCTCCACCTCAGCCAGGCGGAGACTACAATTCCCGCCATGCACCGCGGCA